CCAAATCCAAACGACCCGAATATGACCATTCTAAACTCCTGTTTTAATGTGCCTGGTCGTAGACAAGATCTCTACTATAGGAACCATAATTCATTTGAGTCATATAAAATCCGAGAAGAGCGGATTCCCTCTATGAAAGCAATGGTTGATATAAATTTTCAATATCTTCCTACCCTTATATCCTAGAAATTTGATAAACTCTTTCACCTTAAATAGATTATCTATCACCAATTAGTCCGCATTTTCTATTTTAATGCGGTGTGTGTCCAAAACGAGCGTCGAACTGAAACCATAGGAATTCGATCATATCTTCTTGGTCAATTCGTTTATATTGACTCCAACACTATCGCTAACACCTTTGGATTAGACAATGAAGGTTTAGATAACGAAAAAGAGATAGTGGCTACACCCTATAAAGCTAATGCTAGTGTAAGTACCTTAAGAACTCACCACGAGTGATTCCTTCACTTGATCATCTCTTGGTGGTTTAGACCATCCGGAGGTAGGTACTCCTCTCGTAGAGTCTTATATTTATGGTGGATACATTGTATCCAACATAACAAGAAAATAAATTTGCCACATATCATTTTCGATGAATTAGTAGATACCGTAAACACTGTCACATCCAAAAATATAGAAACTTTAGTTTACGGTTGTCTTCTTAGTAATTTGTTTATCAAACTCGGGCTTAGGGTCACGCTTGATATTCCCATCCCTCTCCAGAGCCAAATAAATCTCACATCCTTAAAGAAATTGGGGTGGTCCTTAGACAAGGATCAATGGGTTCGATCCATCGAGAAAACACCGGGAGCTAGCTCTTCACGAGCTCCTCTGACATCGGCAACGGATGATGATCCAGAGCTTAAAGCTCTTATGCGCGATATTGACGAACACGTACCCGAGGATGAGCCGGCACAGCAAGAAAATCATATGCCTCCATATTTCCGATCGTTTATGGAGAATTTTGACATGAGGTTTGCTTCCATCGAGTCACATTTAACTGCTAACAACGAAGAGATGAATCATCGTTTCGATGCTATGGATGAGAAATTCGACACACTTACACGTGATGTGGCCAATATATGGGCACATTTATCACCTCCAGCTCCACCGATGGACGATTAGACCTTTTTTCTTGCTTTGTTTTCTTAGGTTGCGATATAACTTATTGTTTCAACATTTTGGATATTTTTGGATTGATATGTTTTGGATGATATGGATGTTTGAACTTGAATACTTATATTTATATATTTGGTTTGGTTGAATTTTTAATTTGAGCTTAATGTTTATTAGTTTTTGCATCATTTACATATTATTTGAAATATGACCAATTACCATCTCATATTATGAACATTGATTTTTGGAACTAATGACTAATCTTTCTCTTGATTGTGATCTTAGCAGCTTAAGCTTTAAATTTTTAAATCAATTGGCTATATTCTTACAAAATCTTGTTTTAAAAACGTTTATAGAGTCTTTTTGATTTAACAAAAAGGGGAGAATATAGTAAGGGGGAGTAATTTTCAAAAAATGATTTTCAAAGAAAATCTTAAAATTATTTAAATGTTTTGTTATATCAAAAAGGGGGAGATTTTAGAAAATCTTAAAATTATTTAAATGTTTTGTTATATCAAAAAGGGGGAGATTGTTGAAAACATTTTAATGTTTCGATATAACAAATTAAGTGTTATTGAATTTTAAGATTTTATAATCATTTTTAAAGTATATTCGATTAAATTATTCGAATATCACAAATATTACTCCAAGTTTTTCAAAGGTCGATTTCAAACCTTACTAAAGTGTAAAATTGTGTTTTAAACTTAAAATATTTTTGAAACAATTTTTGAAAAAGTATTTCGAACCAAAATCGAGCCAAAAATCAATTTTATAAAGGGATGTACCGATGCACTATTAGATGTATCGATGCACACCCTAATTCGAATGCATTTTGTGTACTGATGCACAGTCATGCATCGATGCACTCCTGATTTTATTGAAACATCGAATTCATTTTATGTACCGATGCACATATAATGCATCGATACACTCCTAGCTCTTTTGAAACATCGAATGTAATTAGTATACCGATACACCCTAAGTGTACCGATGCACTAGGACAACTAACGGTCGAAATATTTGAATTTTACACATAGTGTACCGATGCACCTACGCTCCCAACCATATTTTTAAATGATAATTACACAATAACGACTCTATTGACTTCACCAATGATCTCCAACGTTCAGAAGTGATCCAATGTGCATTTAAACAAGCTTAGAAGCCATTGATCAACAAGAATTAAGAATAGAAGCTTAGAGAATCAAAGAGAAAGCATCAAACCTCAAGTTTGAGCATTTCAAGCCAAAATTTCATTAAATATTCATTTTGCTTTCAAGAACACCCTTTGTACTCAATTGTATTATTTTTTAGTGTTCTTTCTTTGTTCTAGAATTGTGCAAACATATTGCCTTGTGAGGTTTTTCTGTAAGTTTGCAAAATTTGTAATTTTTTCTTTGGGAGAGTGTTCTCAATAATTTGGGGTATAATTCTTGAGGGAGTTGTAAGGTTACTCTTTGTCCTCAAAAGAAAGAACAAATTAGTGAATTTGTTGGAAAATCCTTAGTGTGGATAGCTAAGGTAGTGGACGTAGACTTTGGTTGAGAAAGTAGAGCCACTCTAAATCGCTGTGCAAATATTTTCTATTTTCTGCAAAAGCTTCCACCAAAATTTTAATTGTCAATTCACCCCCCTCTTGGCTATTTCGTCGATCGATTAACTCAACAGATACATTATAATTATGATGTCTTTTTGAAGAGACATTGCATTCATGATGCCTTTCAAATAAAACTAAAACAATCGTTCTATTGAAGAAAATAATCTTAAAAGTGAAACACATGATGATTTTTTTATTTTCCTACATGATTGATCGTTTATGTTTGTGTTTTGTACATGATTGATCATTTATGTTTGTGTTTTGTACATTTTTCTCATTGGTTCAAAAAATATAATATATGGTCATTTTTCGTTTTTATTTAATTAAGATGTGGTCACTACAGGTTAACTGCAGTTAACATTTAATAGATTAGGTGATGTGGCAGTTAAATATTTTGATATAATCACACATTTGGTCTATGTTATTTACATATTCTCTCAATTTAATCTCACTTTTAATAAATTAAAATAAATTTAATCATTCAATCGAATGAAGACTAAATTCATTTTAATTTAATATATTTATTTCCCAATCATAGCGTGATATGTGTCACTCTCTTGTTGAAAGCAAAACAAAGCAAAAGAAATTGGGGCTAAAGAAATTTAAACTTGGGTCTTTTGAGAAACCAAACATGTACCCAACCAAAGACTAATGCTTGGTTTAAAATAAACAACATGATGTATATATTTTATATCTTAATGTACAAATACTTAACTTAAATTCATAACATACGTGTATATATATATATATTACTTTTAACATATATTTTTTATATTAATTGATTAAATATATTTTTTATTATATTAATTTCAAAATATTTTATTTTCTATTTTAATTTAAATATATATATTTTATGTTAAAATACTTTTAAAATTAAGATAATAATAAAATATATTTAATAATTTAAATTAATAATATAATATATTTAGTAAATTAAGATAATATATATACTTTGAAAAGTTTAGAATAAAATATATATCTTTAAAGTAAAAAAAATTAAATATTTTTAAATTAAGATACGAAATATATATTGTATTGTCTATTTTAAACATGACATTGGTGTTGACTTAATGGTTGGATATATGATTGATTTCTCATGTGACTTAGGTTCTAATCCCTTTAACTTTACTTTGTTTTGCTTTATTTTCTTTATACTATATATTTTATGTTAAAATGTTTTGGAATTAAGATAAAATATATGCTTTGAAAAGTAAAAATAATTATAAAATATATTTTAAAAGTTTAGATAAAAATAAAATATATATTTTTAAATTAAAATTAAAATATAATATTTTTAAATTAAGTTAATAATAAATATATATTTGATAAGTTAATATAACAAAATTCTTAAGTTAATATACGTAAACTATTATGAATTTAAGTTAAGTATTTATATAATAAAATACAAAATATATACACATCGTGTTGTTTATTTAAGATTAAGCATTGGTCTTGACTAAATGATTGAGTACATGCATTTTCTAAGAGACCTAAGTTTGAATTCTTTTAGCCCAATTTGCTTTGCTTTGTTTTCTTTCAACAAGAGGGTGACACTTGTCATCCTCTTATTCGTGAAAAATAAATATATTAAATTAAAATAAATCTAATTAAAAGTATATTTTTTTGAAATTAGTGAGAAAAAGTGGTTTAGTACATGCTTAGTTTCTAAGAGACTCGAGTTTGAATTCTTTTAGCCCCAATTTGTTTTGTTTTCTTTCAACTTATTCATGAAAAGTAAATATATTAAATTTAAATAAATCCAATTAAAAGTATATTTTTTAATTAATAAGAAAAAATAGACAAAACACAAACATAAATCATCAAGCATGTAGTTAACCTTATTATTATAAATATATCACCTCATCATTAAAATTAAAATAAATATTTAATGTGTTTTGGTATAATAACTTTTTTATTCCTAAAATTTATATAACTTTATCAAATATATCCTAATTCAATATTTTTAACCCGACATGTTTAATAGTTATATCAAACTAATCTTATATTACTTTAATCTTTCTTTTCAATACTATTAAACCAAGAGAACTCATTAGATCAAAGCAATAGTTGGATAACTACATTATTAGATATTGACTCAAATTCTATTTTGTAATTAAGTTTAATTTTATTATAATTATAGTGGTGGAATAAACATGCATGATCTTATCGTCCTAAATAATATGTTGGCAACAATATCAATCAAATTAAACTCAACTAAAAATATTAATTTATAAATTATATATATATATATATTGAAGTACAAAACCATAATCTCCAAAGAATGAAAAATAAATAAATACTCATTAAACATATAACCCTATCTGGCATTCATTTCAAGTACAAATAATATAAAATTGAAAGGATATTACAAAGTGTTGTTATGAGAAAAGTTTTCATAGGAAGTTGGCTTAACAGAGAACGGCAGATTGTGTCAATGCAGTTTTTAACATTGAACCATCTTCTAAGGCCAATAAGGCTCTATCGTTTCTTCACCATATGTCTACTCTCTGCCAACTGTAATTAAGCACTTACAGCTATCCAAAGAAACGGGTTCCGCTTTTAATTCCTGCCATGCTTGAAAACCCCATGGAAAAAAGATACCCGGGGTCGTGGGTTTACTTCGTAAAGAACCGTGTTTTGCTTTCGGCGAGCATATCGCTTCATAGACTGCTTTGCGCTCCAGAAAACTAGCATTAATCTGTAAATGAGAATGTTATCAATAGTGGTTTCTCTGGCAATGGAAACATGTTCTCTCAACTCAAATATTCTTTTGATTAGTCTCTCCAACCATCAACAACATGGTTTCAGCTTTGATTATACTTAAGTTGCTCTATTGCCAAATTGATGCCTAAGCAAATGATATTATGATCCATCATCCATTTAATTTAATCAACTTTAAACAATAAAAATCAGCATTAGTTTCATACTTTCATGTCTTGACTGATAGACGCAGTCAAGGGATCAAGGAGTAAAATGACTCAAATTCAACTCAACTCACTATTGACCTTACTTGAAAAGTTACTTTGCTTGCTGTCAGATAAATAGCAGCATCGAGGTAAACTAGTCCAAGTGGAAGTAGCTGCCACAAGCTACAATTGGACAATAGTTCCTAAAAATGTGCTAAGACAGATCTATTAACTTCTAAGCTTCGGGTTAACACCTAGCTTCTATGTTACCAGTTTGCATTCAGGTAAAATTACAAGATGAAAACTAGCCATGTTTCATCATACCTGATTGGTTAAGGAGGTGGTGGAGATGACAACAACCGATGCCTGAATAGTTTTGCTAACGCTCTGCGCTGACAGTCCTGTATACAATTAATATACACATAAATACTTAACATGGAAACCTTTATTGTGATTAACTTAATGTATTATTCATGCATATCACGGATCCATGTCAAGTACAGCACAAGAAGAAATACACATTTTCTATTTTTATTGGAACAATGTCACATGGAAATAAGTTGCTTCATTTCTCTAGGAGCAATTGGTCATAATTTTTTCCGACTCCAACAGGTGGATTTCCCACACACAAAGGTTTCAAAGGCTGCAATTTTTTCATAAGTTCATGTGCATGCAGTTGATTAGGAAATCGTGGCAAATTAGCAACAGACATACTTTCAAGAAGATTTAACGTGAACCAGAGCTACAATTGTCAGACATACCAAATCTCAAAGCAAATATGTCTACCAGAGCACCTGTCAGCAAGGCAATTAATTCAAACCAGATGCTTATTTCCAAAAATCTCAGATGTCACATAAACCATTTTAAACAAGAGTTTGCTAACACAGTGTTCGCATCAAACATAATATTTTACTAAGCTTTGCAAAGGAAATTAACCAAATTTTATGTAGAAACCATACTTTAGCAACAATATGCCCCCAGAACCAAAAAATGTTGTGAGGGATATACTATAACAGGTTATGCAAGTATAAATTCACCTTGAACATATTTAGATGGAATGGTCTATCTGGATTCATTCTCCTTAACTTCAAAAAAGTATATGCAAAGCTAAGTTGGTCTCGTGAGGTAAATCGATCAACTTCATTGAACCACAAGCAAGAAAATAAATTTGACATTGGTGTATGGGCTCGGATGATAAAGGAACCTTCGGGCACATCTGAAGGGTACATTAAGCACAAATCAGTTCCTGGCAGAGAAGACGGCTAAGATTAAAAAAGAAAAGAAAGAAGGCTGCTATTTAACAAAAAAAGGCATCAAGATACGCACAACTTGAAAGAGGAGTATTTGGGTCTGAAGGATCAAACTTTCTGAGCCCATCAGACTGGTAAAACATAAATTGCTCATCAATGGCGGTATGGTTGTACTTATTCAGACGCTTATTTTGTAGTACCTCTTCCCAAACACAATGGCGATCATAGTGGTTTGAAATGGCATACTCTGCTCTCATTCGCCACAAAAAGAATTCAATGATAAGCATGGGGTCAGTATTAAGTCGCATCTTACTGTCAAGCCAAATTGAATACCTGAAAATATACATTAAAATTATAGTATTTAATTTAAAGAACCTGATTGACTCAGAAGGAAAAGAATGAAGCTTAAAATCTAGACAAACGCTCACCAAGAAGAAGGGAAAAGACGATGAGATAAAAACTTTGGGACCTTTCCAGTTTTCCGCATGTCCAAGTACGGTAAGTTCTTCACAACAACAATTTTCCACAGACCAACATATCCTTTCTCATCAGGAGTGTGCCCTTCCGAAGACAATTTCGACAGTGTTTGCTCATCCACAAACATAACAAAACACACATTTTTCTTGGAAAATTCACTTATCTGAAAAGAAAAAGAAAAGATGTGGAGCATTACTGACAGAATAGAAAGCTGAGTAGATTATTCTAAAACTAAAGCAGCGCTATATACCAATCACCTTGTTGCTTCTTCTGCTATATTACCCTATAAAAAATAGTTAAGGACCACAAGAACTAACTAAGCTCAGATATACTCAAATAGGCCGTGAAGAATAGGATATCATCCGACATAAGATTTGCAACTTATGAGAAAGATACAGAAGCAGGAAAAAAAATAAAACTAGAAAGTCGATGATAGCCTGTGTACATTTCATGCATCAGATTAAAGTCTCAGACAGTAAAATTTTCAACAAAAAGAAATTTGTTTTTCATCTCCATCCCTTTAAAGCCAATTACATGCATTTAACTTTAACTTTACTAATAAATAATACTATGAGAAGTCCCTCATGCCTATCATAAAACCTTCAAGTCTGTATCTATTCTTCTCCCTTCAGTTGAAATAAGTAGTGAAGATGATATATTCCTTGGAAAAGTTATGCCTCTTATTCAATAGCTGAATGACTCATGAATGCATAAAATGAGTGCAAATTCAATGTAGAACACAAGACGATTTGATCAAGAGATGCTCACGCTCAAGTCCAGAGGACATGAATATGTACATCATACAAGGCAAACAATGAGATTTGATATGGAATGGCTCATTTACCAATCTGCTAGTTGGTCTTCTTAGAAAGTCAGAGCTTCCAAAAATGCAAGAAGATACTGCAACAAGACAAGTATTCATGTATGCCTTGTCATCTTCACTCAACTCAAATCCAGGGCTTGATAATCTTGACATTCCTTTGACAAAACCACAGTGAATAGTTTGATTCCTAGCGAAGAACGAGTTCTCTCTTTCTTCAAGAGTTTGATACCCTCCAAATCTATTCTGACGTGAGTTGGCATGCAAACGATTCTCCTCCCTCTCTACATAGTCTAGTGAAAACTGTGTATAGTTCATATAATTCTTGGGCTCTAAAATATTATCAACTGCATCTGCAAGCCCAACTTCGCAAGGAAAATCTGAAATAAAAATGTTCAGTATTATGTATGAGAAATAATATGCACGAAAATGTTTGGTTCTGACTTTTAAGGATTTAGATCTTCAGTCAAGAGGGGGTGGGGTGGACTTAATTAGGCATACCAGTAAGATAAACAAAATGACTATCGGTGACAATTCAATAAATATAAAATCTACCAGTAAGATAATTACGCATGCCATGAACAAGAAATGAATGGAATTTATCAGTCTTCACAAACATTCTTTCAAGCATTTATCGACTTCACTCCAGCTCTTTTTAGATTTTAATCATGTCAAGGTTTTAAATATAAAATGCAAAATGCAGTTTTGACATTAATGTTGTACCAGAAGAGATCAAATTAATCATTTATGCTAATTCTATCCCAGCATTGTTAGAAAGGGACACAATGTGACAAATTCAAAATAAGAGCAACAGTATTGACACAGATCACATAAAAGCTGAAAATGAATAAAGCTCAACAATTGAAATCAATAAAAAGTTTATGTTAAAAGCCAACCAAGATTTGATTTTTTTTCTCCTTCTCTTCTGCTCTTTCACAAACATACTCCGCCACTCACCAAACAATTAAAATGTTCTCTCAAACAATCTTAATAAGAAAGAGTAGAATACAAATTAAAAGGAAAAAAATATCTTACGCTGCTTACGACGCTTGCTTTTGGGTGGCGTTGGGGTAGCATCGTAGCTGGAAATTTGTTGATGTACTTCTTTTAACAAGGGCAGATGTTTTTCTTCCTCATTACCTGAACTTATACGAACACGATTTACTAATCATCCATGAAAAAAATTAAAAATCTAAGAAAAATGTAGGATTTAGAGAAAATAAATGTGCCAACAGTGGAGTTACGAATCTGACCATGGGAGAGTAATTTAAGGCCAAATGCAGCAAAGACGAACAAGAAGAGTAGAGCAAGAAGAAGCAGAATCCAATTGAAGAATCTAGGTTTAAGAAAATTACGAGGAAACCTCCTTCCTCGACGAGCGACGCGAGAACCCTGCTCGCTTCGAGGCACCACGGAGTTAAAAATCGCACCGATTAAGCCGCCTCTTCTCTCTTGCAACCATTCTCCATTGTATTTAAACGAAGCCATCGCAAAGAAAGCTTTGAAGAGATTGTGGCCAATAATAACGAGCTCGTCATCATCATCTCATCTTCCAGGAATTAAAAAACAATAACCATGAGATCTATTATGGATGCATCCACCACTGTTTCAAAACAACTGGAAATTGAAGAATGTGAACATTAATTTTACTTTTCTTTTTAGGCTTAAATGCCGCATTCCCCCTTATTTTATACCGATTTATTTTTAAAGTATTATTTGAAACGTTTTTTCTCTCAATTATAAATCATTACTTTATTAATTTCAAATCGTTAATATTATTAAGAATAAAATTCAGACCAATTATAACGTACCACGTCACCTTCTAAATTTTATTATCTTTTTTTACATAAATAAAAATCAATTAATAAAATAAAATACATAAACTACCAAAATGTCCCCTCTTCTCTCTTACCCCCAACCTCTAGCAGTCTTCCCCGTAGACCACCCCTTTCCCCTAACAAGCCCCTGTTTCCCTAACCCTGCTCTCATCCAGGCCTAGTTTTCGTATCTTCACCAGAAACAACTATGGATTCCTGAAGACACTCAATTCCGTCTTTTATTAATACTATTATATTATATAATCATATCGTAAAATTATACATATATATATATATATATATAATATTATTAATTTTATTCGGTATATTTGTGCAGGCCCGATATATCAAATAAAATAGCATGTTGCATATGGCCCGACAAGACCCAAATCCCACGTGAGCAGTAAATTTCCAGAACCCTAGCTCCACGCCTCGTTCCAGCGCCGTTTTCCTCCATTTGAAGTTCCCACAGCCGCACGTCTCGCCCAACAACCCGTATCATTAGGCGCAGAGATCTCGGTCATCACCAACATATCAACAAACCAACTAGCATTAGAATCCTAGTTCTAATAGGATATTAAAAATAGGTTTTTTCGTATTATAAATAACACATGTAATCATCCATTTGAGGGGCAGAGGGATTTTCATACTGAATACAAGCAAAATTACTATCAAACCACAACCAAACATTCAGAGTCATTTCGAAGGTTTCTTGCAAATATTTCGAAAAGAAAGGTAAAAATTACATACCTTTGCATGTGGTTTTTCTTGTCTTGTGTCTTTGTTGTACCTTGGGTCGAAAGAAACCCAAAGAGAGCGTTTTTAGCCGATGAACGGAGGGGTTGGGTCGGGATCTTCTTTTGTAGATCTAGCCCTCGAGGCTCATTTTTTATAGACAATATTTTGATTTTTGAAAACTAGATTTAAAATGCTTTGAAAAACAAAGAAAAAAATTTGGTTTTGCCGCCGATGAACGGCGGTCGACGCCGTTCAACGCGGCGGCGAGGCGACGCGGTGGCCGTGTTCTGGGAACCACGGCCCTTGTTCTTCATACTGAAGAACAGTTGAGAGAAAAGAATAAGAGGAGGGCGTTCTGTTTGGAGAGAAGAAAAGAAATGAAATTTTAAAACCATATTTTGGCACATATACGGCCCGTTAGCCCGACCCATATACACCCCGGAACCCGCGTGTTTTTAAAGAAAATGGGGTAAACTACCCTTTTGGTCCCTCGCTGCTTTTAAAGAATTATTTTGACGCCGAATTTGCTTTTGAATTGGTCTCTGATTTTGATTTCCTTTTAATTTAGCCCCCGATTCAATTTGTGTTTTAAAATTTTATTTTTATTTATTTATTTTTCTTGTTTTTTACATATTACGTTTCATTATTATATATTTTATTATTATTATTATTATATATATATATATTTGATTATATTTTCTATTTTATTTTCTATATTCCTTTATTTTTAGTTTTATTATTTTATATATATTATTATATATTATTATATATATTTTTTTTTTCATATATATATATATATATATATATATATATGTGTATTTTCTATTTTTTTCCCTCATTTTTTTAAGCACCGTTATATATCTTTTTAGTGTTTTTTTCTTTATCATTCACTTATTTGTTTCTTTATTATATATCTTATTATATGTATGCATTAAATGTTTGGGCCTTTTTTTATCCTAAGACTTTATTTTCCCCCTTACTTTCGGTGAAATGATGGGGAAGCTTTCTTTACATTTTTATATATATATATATATTATATATTTATTTATTTATTTATTTTTCCTTTTATTTTATTTTTTTCTACTTTTTTTATTCTGCATTTTTTTATTTATATAGTTTTCCCTCTAACACATCTTATGACTTTTTAAGGGTATTTTCGTCAATTAATAAGAGGTAAGTAATTCATGATCAAATTTTATCTTTTAATTTAAAATTACAATTTTCTTAATTAAGACAACTGGAAATTACGTAGTACCGAAAGGGCGGTTCAAGGGTGCTAATCCTTCCTTGACTGTAACCGACTCCCGAATCCGACACATCTTTGGTAAGACGCAGATCAGGTAAGAAATAAGGGATCCGGTCAACCTATTTTGTTTAAAATAAACGATCGGTGGCGACTCCAATCCATTTTCCTAAGTCGAAGCCCAATTTCGGGGCCCAATCGAAAGACGGTTGCGACAGCTTGGCGACTCCGCTGGGGACAGGTAAGTGAGTCAGGCTAAGGTAATTTCCAGTATCTTTTTTACGAAAAGGGTAAGTTTAAATTTTAAGGTAATATTTCGATCCTTATTACTTACTTTTGATTATATTTTTTCGAGTAAATAGTTGGACTGACCGTTTTCTAATGATTTCAGATTTCCAAACATTTTTCATCTAAGGCTCTAAACCCGAGCTCCGAACCCGTTTTAAGTGGGGGTGAAAGCGACGCCTTCGTGTGAATTTATTCACCGTATGGGCCTAGCAAGTAGCCTTCGGGATTCATATACCTTATGCCTTCGTGTGAATTTATTCTCCGTATGGGCATAAGGGAATGTGTCCTCTCGAGTTTAACTTAGTCCACACAAGCCTGTGATTGGTTTAGGACTAAGGGTCTGGTCGGCCCAAGGGGGCGCCAGCAAGAAGAACTCGGGTACCGTATTTAGAACCTAAACCGGGAGACTTTGAATAAATAGAGCCTACCAAACCTAGGACATTTCTTTTCTAACCTTGTTTTTTTGTCCTTATGTTTTTTCCTTTGCCATTTATTTTTTTTATTTTTATTTATTTCCATTTTACTAACTTTTTTGCCTTTGTATTTGTTTTTAGCATTTGCATCATAACAAGAGGCCATTGATCCCTAAAAAGGTGTTTATTAAAACTCAAATAATCTGAATCCATGGACAAAGGTGTTGTAATACAAGAGATTGAAAACGCTGAGGCACGACTATGGTCCGAGAAGACTCAGAGTGAAAAGGGAGACAGTCTTCAAGGAGGCTATGTGTCAGAGTTGGTTCGCTACACCCCTATCAGCCTAAAACAGAACAATGTACAAGAGCTTCGAGATATCTGGGATAGTTGGAAGAATGATCGGAAACAGCAGTTCAGCCAACGGTACGGTGACATTGCACTCTTGCTTCATGTTAAAGCTGATGAGCCCTTAATCAGAGCCATGGTTCAATTCTGGAACCCGGGATATAGTTGCTTCACTTTTAACCAAGAGGACATGGTGCCTACCATCGAAGAATACACTACACTGCTGCACTGTGAAAGCATCAAGCTAGAGCGAGCCTACATTAAACACATCAAAAGCCAGCCCTTCAAGAATGCACTGGCCAAAGTTGCAGGAGTAGATGAGAAATGGGTAATCGATCGGACTCAGCGTAGAGGCAATGGAGAAGGAATTGAATGGATCCACATAAAGCAACTAATGAAAAACCACCCTGATGAGTGGAAGACTATAGACCTTTTTGCACTGGGTCTGTATGGTTTGATCATCTTTCCGAAAGCTTTGGGGTGCATTGACGCTGCCGTGGTGGAACTATTTGAGCAACTTTCGAAACGAGTTAACCCAGCACCAGCCATCTTGGCCGAGACCTTTCGATCTCTCAACCATTGCCGAAGAACTGGCGGAGGAAGATTCACCGGGTGCATTCAGCTCCTTCAGGTCTGGATTCACAGCCACTTCTGGAAGACTAACGGGGTTGCCTACCGCCGTTTCAGCACCGCCTATTCACCTCTGGGTGAATTCATCACCTTGAAATGGCATGAAGGCGCCTCGAAGGAAAAATGGATGAAGGTCTTTATGCATCTTCAGGACCGGGATATTGTCTGGAGAGCCCCCTGGTTATTCTTCAGTGATGTTCTTTTCCGATGTGGTGACTCTGACACTGTGACCTTACCTGGACTTTGGGGAGCAGTCGGGTATGCTCCGTTATTAGCACTTAGACAATATGGGGCACGTCAGTTTGTCCCAGCAACATACGGGTTAGCTAGGTCAGAGTTTGAGTATCACGGTGATAGCTATAAGAAGATGATCAAGGAAGCAGCCGATTCATGGAGGAAAGTATTCCGGATGGATGTTGTAGCTGCCAGAAGCATGCTTACTCCTGATTATGTGGAGTGGCGAAGGTTGAGGAAAAATGACAATATTCCGGTACCAGACTGTGAGGACACCCGTACCATGGAAGAACATCTCAGGCATGTCCCTTCTGAGCTTGAGATAGCCAAGACCGAGTTTGAAGCTGTGAATAATGAGCTAAAGCATAGGATAAGGGAACTTGAAGCTGAACATTATCAGTGGAAGCTTGATGCTGACTCTCAGAAAGATCGGGCAGATAAGCTGGAAAGAGAGCAAAAATGATTCCGTTTTGAGCTCGAAGACTTGAGAAAGGGGTATCAAGATAAGGTCAAGGATAACTCCAAGTTGAAGGTAACCTCTGAATACTGGAAAGACGAAGCTCATAGCCTAAAAAGGAAGTTCGAGGGGCCTGATGCGAGAGCTTGGAAAGAACAAACGAAGACTGCCCAAAGACGCTTGCAGATAGTCAATATCAGAACCAGCGCTTGAGAGTTCGGGTAGCTGACTTAGAAAAACAGCATGAGAAAATGGCAAACAATAACTGAGTTGGAAGCTATTGTAGATGGGTTCAAGAGGCAAGCAAACGAGCTTCAGATAGTGCCCTTCGACGGAGGATTACAATGGCGTTTCGTTGGGAGCAAGCACAGCGAAGGTGAGGGCCGAGATGCAACCATCTGAGATTTCCTGGATCAAGTGCAAAAAGCAGCCCGTCATCTTCACGGCCTAGCAAGGGAAGCTG